AGCATCAGGGTTACAATCAAGGATATTCAACTATGAGATACGATAATACGGTTCAGAGTGGCTACCACACTTCTACTCCTGGAAGTTCGATTACTGAACAGAGGACTACCTCATCATCAAACCAACAACGTCCAATAAATTCACCATTTTTACTGGACGAAACGTCAGCTACTTCCTATGTTTCACAAGATGAGGAGTTTGATTTTTCTTAAATTGATCATTACATTTTTTAAGGCCTATTAAAGTATTCTTAAAGTAGGAAAATTGTATAATGCAAAAAGCTTAATTTGATTCTGTCTTGTTTCATTTGAACCTGGCTTTGTACCACTAGGTACCCCCAAACCATGAACACTAGTGATGCAAAATTTTTATCGACACCCCGCTAGTACCACAGGTGTATAAAGCCAGGGGTACAAATAAAACTAAACATTTGATTCCGAGTGCCATAAACATCAATAAAAAAAAATAAGAAACCTATTTGTTTTACCTTAAAGTTAAGCCCAGCATTTCCAAAGCAGTAACTGGTTTTCTTCCTTTATTTTTTTTCTTCTGTATATATTTTGATAACTCGCTTAATAGCTCTTCAAATGATGATATACTCATTCTAAAGTAGGCAACAAATTTTTTTTCGTCTATCTTTAATGCTTCGTATTTTTTAGAAAAGAACTCGCCATTTGGATTCATACCCTTACTTAATGGATGTATCCAGTATCTTCTTTGCCGTATTTTTAAGATAGAATAATGTCTTCTTAATAACAAATAAGCAATAAGTTTATTACGATCCATCGCAGAGAGACGTCTATCCACACTCAAAAATCACGAGAAAATGGTTGCCCTACCATAATGCCCAGTTTCGCGACGCCGCAACGCGGCAACGCAACTGCCGATTTTGGCGTTGCGGCGCCGCAAAAATAAGCAGTTTGCGTTATGTGTTTCGGCCCTAAATCATGTACCTACAGAAAATCTCTTACATGCTACATTTTACATAGATAATAAACCTGTGACTCTTTTAATCACCAATTATATTTCGATCCTTGGGATTCTGAAAGTTATTTTAAGTCACTTCTTAGCTGTTTACAGAATAACGATTTGAAATCACTTTACGTACCTGACTTAAAAGATGACGCAACTTGTAAATTAAAAGGCAATGAACAACTACATATTACATCTTATTTAGCAGACATTTATAATTGTAAGATTACTATCAGTGAAAACAAAGTGAAGACTCCTAATCCTGAAGATATTCCTTCTATTTTAAAATCTTTTCATGATGACCCTTTGTCTGGTCACCGTGGTATAGTTGAAACCACACGAAAAATAAGATCAGAGTATTTTTGGAAAGGTATGACCGACACTATTAAAAATTACATTGACAAATGTCAAATTTGCCAACGGAGTAAGATACAAAGAAAAACTTATAAAGCTCCAATGGTAATAACTTCATCATCCACTGAACCTTTTGAACGTGTCTCTATCGACTTAGTTTCTTATTCAGAAGTAACTCATGACTCTAACAAGTATATCTTAACCTTACAAGATGATTTAACAAGGTTTGTACAAGCTTATCCTATTGTAGATAAACAAGCAATTACCGTAGCAAAGACTCTATTAACTTTCTGTCAACACTACGGTGTTCCCAAACGATTCCACTCAGATCAAGGAACAGAATTTGTAAATACTCGTAGCATCATAAAACAATTAATGAAATTGTTAGGTTCGAATCATACACTAAGCACAGCTTACCATCCTCAAAGTAATGGTTCTATAGAACGTTTCCATGCTACTCTTAGAGATCATATACGATCGTATCATAAGAGAAATAATTGCAATTGGGATCAAATAATTCCTTTCGCAGTTACATGTCATAACACAGCGGTTTATCAATCATTGGGTTTCACGCCTCATGAATTACTTTTTGGGTATAAACCTCGATCACTCTACTCTCTAAAAGAATTAAATGAATATACAACCTGTGATTATTTACATGATCTTAATGAACGACTCAAAGTTTCTCGTTACGTTGCTTTACGTAACTTAAAAGCGATGAAGGAAAAAGCTAAAGAACGTTATGATAAAAATATTAGAAACATCGCTAAGTATAACGTAGGCGATTATGTAATGCTCAAGGTGCCTAACCCTAATAACTTAGATTCGAAATGGGAAGGTCCTTATCTTATTGTCAGAATAGGATTCAATGAAAATTACATTATCAGAAAGAATGGAAGAAACCAAATAGTGCATGCAAATCGTTTAAGACCATTGCACGAATCATAAATCATTTAGAATAATTACTAGATTTTACAAACCAATTTTAATTCTATTTCAGTTTACCAATTGGCATTTCCCAATACTATATCCGACGGAGAGGAGAATCCTAATTATATACATTCGTTTATACACTAATGAATAATCCTTATTTTAGTTTTATCATATGTTCTATAATAAAAACTTATTACCTTACGGTCTAAGCTCAGTACTAAAATGGCTCATTGGTACACCAGACGCAAAAGATGCCGAATACTATAATGAATGCATAGATTTCTTAGATGATTAAATCGGGAGCAGTTCATCCTTCGGATATATCTTCAGTAAGTCTTTACAAAGAATTATTAGCATCAAGTCATGCTAGAACATCAGGTAACCTAGTGGCAACCGTGAGTCTTCAAAACATTCATAAAATTCTAAACTCTGCTACAATTACATCATATATTTACATGAACAAAATTATATATATACTAAATTTTCCTTTAGTCAAAAATGACATATTTACCTTATACCATTTAATTTCAATTCCTATAAAACATCCTGAGTCCTCCTTATATTCCACAATCCCACCTGAGCACATGTATCTTGCTATGAGCAAAAACAGTCAACGCTACCTGACGACGAACTCCGTGGATAAGTGTAATGAATTCTCTCCAAACCTTCATGTATGCAGTAAGGTCACAATCTTCAATTCGAACGCACGACCAATCTGCGAAGTCTCCATCTTGCTGACGAATTCAAAAGACATACCTCAAAACTGCGAGGTATCCACATTCTCCGCGCACTTCAACACATTTCATCCATTAAAAAGTAACAAATGGATCTTCATACTTTCGAAGAAAATTACATATGCTATGGAATGCAACGGAAAAACTACACATGGCGAAATATTTGGACACGGAATAATTCTGCTACAACCTGATTGCAAATTTTATACACCAATGGTTACACTCATCGCTGAAGACTCGAAATCGAAAAACATCAGTCATCCCATTGTTACTGTCGACGTGGAAAATAACTGCATCGAAGGAACTCCAGATCTTTATAATCCAGGACTCGTACCTATCCAAATTAACGATGTTTCCTTAGACTCTCTCAATACTATTAAAGACGAGATCAAACATCACTCTAAAATACTAAACCAAGATAAATATATCATTCAAGAACATCCATATAATTTCACTCTAATGAGTTTATCACTTGGTTCAGTCCTTCTTATGTATATTTTTTACAAGTTTTGCAATTGTTGCAACCTCAACCCAAGAAGAAACTCTCACGAACAAGGATGCATTCAAATTTTTAATAATTGTTTCGACCAATCCCGAAGACGACAACAAATAGAAATCCCGATGTCTACATACAATACGACGACGGCTTGCATCAGCTCGGACGACGAGGAAGAGGACGCCCAACAAACTTCTTCAAAAAGTTCACGCCAACAGGCGCAACCTTTATTTTAAGGGGGGAGGTGTTATGTGGTCCCCACTATATTATTAATCTTTCAATTGTTATTTACCTAATTATTATTTCTTTGCCTTGTATAAGTTTAACCATTTGTTTATATAGTGATAAGTTATAGTTAATTACCTAATGACATTGTTTGTTCCCCTAATGTATCCCTACTCCTACCCAAACCTTTAAATACCAAATCCCGATCCTTTCAAAGGCACTTCTATTCCATATTCCAACTCCAACGTTAGTTTATTGTAAGCATAATTTTAAATAAAGTTTGTTAGTTTTAAAAAACAAGTTTCAGTCACTGCCTCATAACAAGGGCTACTTAAGCTCACCCCAGGGTGTGTGACTAAGGGAAATCCAAGAGGTGGGCAGCAGCATTACGTATTCAGTGAAAAGTGAAAATTTCAACTGGGTACTTATTATGGTTCCAAAGATAGTATTTTAAGACAGGCAGAATCAAAGTAATAGAGTCCCATTTGGCACCCTTCGTGTATGGAACCCTAAAAACGGATTCGTGTCTAAATTATGTATTGTTTATTTTCAGATATTCTGCGAAAAAACTGACATCTTTCCCAAAATGTAAGCACAAAACGAATTCTACTTTTAAATGCCTTACTCTAAAAACGCAAGATGTTGCTCGGTTTCACCAGAATTTCTACAAATTGAACAACAAAGTCAGCCACGACAACTTTATTCCAAAACTTTGCCGTCTCTCCAAATGCCATAGAAAAGGCTCAAAGATCAGTCTAGAGGACCAAAGAATTTAAGTGCAGAATACTATGTAAAAATAAAAAATCCTCACAAACAGGTCAGGGTATGCCAAAGTGCTTTTATTAAAATATTACAAGTTGGGAAAGATAGAGTTACAAGAATTCTACAGAGATCTTATAAAGATGAAGGCAGTGTTGCTAAAGAGAATCGAGGTGGAAACCACAAAAAAGATCGATATGCGCAGGGGCAAAGAAGTGTAATGACATTTATTGAGTCCATAGAAGCAGCCGAACCTCATTATTGCAGGGCCAAATCGTCTGTAAGACTACTTGCCAACTGAATTAAATATAAAAAAATCTGTGGAAAATGTATCAAAAGCAAGTTGCAAGTACCCCCTATCTGAAGGTAAAACAGTCATATTTCAGACAAATCTTTATCCGCAAGTACAATGTTGGTTTTGGCTCTCCCTTGAAAGATACTTGCTCCAGATATTTTGAATTAAACGAAAAATAGAAACTACTAACCAAGAGAAACAGATTCACATAACCCAAAAAAGGTTACATAGCATGAAAGCCAAAGCCTTTTATAACTGTCACAGAAGAACATTTCACTGTCATTCGATTGCCAAAAAAACAGCGCGCTGCCTAAACTGCCCGACCAAAGCGGCTTACTTTAGTAGGCAGTTCAATATAAGCAATTTCACAGTTGTTATTGGTACTTCCAAATCTGCTTTAGATAACGTACGCACTTATTACTGGTGTGAAAATGAGCATGCAAAATCTTCATCTGAAATCGCAAGTGCAGTATTCGACACATTGATCAGCTTGGATATCCCAAGCGATAAAACAAGAGTAAGACTGTGTGCTGACGGTTGCGGCGGTGATAATAAGAATACAATTTTAGTGGGCATGTGCATGAAATGGTTGTATTCAAACGCACCACCACACGTAAAAAATTAAATACAGTAGAATCCACATATAACGACTTCGCTTATAACGACTAACCGCTTTTAACGACGATAATGTTTACTCAAGTTAGGTTTCATAGTTAGGTACTGAGAAAATGTAACCGTTTAGTGCGACTCCGGTTTAAGCGACCAACTGCTTATAGCGACCATTATTTATGATAATACGTCCGGTTAAAACGACGCGCAATTTTTTGTTTACACAACCTACGCACCAATACCTCGGCGCCCCAACTTCACCCCGCCCCGCGTGCATCCTTAGTGGCGTGCGTAAATCATAGTTAGTGTTTGTCACTTGTTATGACAAGTTCTTAAAGCTCGACAAAATGAGTTCTGTGAAGCGAAAGTGTTTTACAATTGAAGAAAAAAGTGCAATATTATTCCGATTAGAAGCCGGTGAATCAAATGCAACCATCGCAAAGGAGTTTGGCGTATCTCATTCTACAATTTCTACAATAAAGAAGAATAAATATAAGATCGAGCCGCTGTTTAGTGCTAATGTATTGTGAAACATTTGGGGGTGGATGTTGAAGTGTATGACTGGAAGAACGAAGTGATTAATGTATGCAAGCCTCCCGGCAGCTGGCATTTCAAATTTAATGCTTGCAAACGATTTATACTGCACAAAGGACGCCAGAATGTAAGCGTACAAGGAGAGGAAAACTACAGAAGCGAATGTACTCAGCCAAAATATGTGACTAAGAAAGGAAGAAGTTGAGCGGAATTGGAACCTGTAATAAGACGAAAGGGGAATAAAATTAATATAAAAAAAATTGCTTTCTCGAACCTGTAATCGAAGCACTTTGGTGAAGACTGGAGAACTATTGAGAGTTTAGCTTACTATAGGAACATTGAAGTAAATAATGACAATTCCGAAGAACGTGAAGATCTAGTATGCGTACCGCTTGAAGATAGTGACATTTGTGTTTGATACAATATTTGCGATATTATAGTTCAGATTTATTATTTTTGGTAGTTTTACTTTATCTTAATCTGATATTTTCGAACACCTAGTAAGTTGACAAGACAAGACCGACCAAGAGATGGGCAGACGATATTAAGATAATAGGAGGCACAACTTGGACAAGAAGAGCTAATAACAGAAAAGAATGGAAACAGCTGGAAGAGGCCTACGTGTCACAGGACACGCTGATTACCAAAAACGGGTCATATGATGCATTAGATTAAGTTTTATTTTATTTATGTGTTAGAATTAAGTGTTTTTTTATGTAACTTAAATAATTGTATGGGTGTCAGCAATAAAGGCTAATCATCATCATCATCAGTAAGTTGACAATGACATAGCGTAGTTGGCATCGATCTCCGCCACATCCATTTCTGTCAGAAACAAAATTCGTCAGAATATATCTACAGATAGTAGAGTATGATAATTTTTATAATTGAATTAGGAGATGATAGCGACACATCTGATGATACGGATGATAGCCATTATTCAGATGTATGTCCTTTAGCTGATCACACGTATAGTAAAAGAATAAATTTTTAACGAAATAAATTTGCTTTTTTATTTCACGAATTTCATGATTTATGTTTTCTCCAACCTTGTTACACTTTGTAGAGTTCCAAAATGTCAATATCATATGAAGAGGTTTGGGAGTCACTTTTGGGTCTTAAAAGGGAGATTTCAATCGGTTTGCTATTTTTTACCAGAAAGGGGGCAATGTTATCTGCCCTGTGATCGTCACTTTTCTATTATAGAGAAAATGCAAAGAAAGAGAGAAACAGTAGAGTTACCGGTCGATTAGATTGAAATAATATCATCGATGTTACGTATGTATCCGACTTTACATAGAAATAGAATACATATTAATTATCAATAGTATTGTCGTCTTATTTAGTGAAAACTAACCTGGCCACCCACCATAACATGGTGACAGAAGTTCAAGTAGTGAACCGAGATAAAAAGAACACAGAATCCGACAGAAATACCCGCTGCAAACAGCCTACAAAATTTTCACGTAAAACGTCGCCGCGTGGTCCAGCCTACATGAGTAATTTAAATGCATCAATGTTTTAATATAAGTCAGTATTGTACCAATACTCATATCAAATAGTCGTGTCCTAAAGAGCCTCGTTACATTACAATACTCAGTACTTTATAAGGACATACTAATACCAAATAAGGTACATTGGTGACCCCGATAACAACTTTGGACGTACAGTATTGCAGCGAAGTTGAAATATTAATCCAGCACAGCCACCATCGCCAGCAGCAGAGGCCGGTATGAGCGGTGGAGCCGAAATAGCTGTATCATTAAGATCAAGGATTACTGAATTCTGGATCGACCAACCACCGCTTTGGTTTGTCCAGTGCGAAGCCATATTAACACCGCAGAAGTTAAGTGATAAAAACAAGTACAACTTATTCGTTGCAAACAAGGAAACGATGCACTTTACTCAAGTAAGTGACATACTTCTTAACCCACCGGCGTTCTTTATGTTCCATACCTTGAAAGACCGCTTATTAACCCTAGATCACTAAACATTAGTCTCACAGGCTACACGACTCTGACGCATTCGCTGTTTATGTATGTTCCCGTTACCGCACCCCCCTCAGCCGCTCAGTACCTTCCTAATTCGGCCAATCAGTGACCCGTGAACTCGCATTGCGTACGCACGCTTCCTACTTCCAGAGATATTACGCAATAGTAGTCTCTCAGGCTAATGTTTAGTAATTGCGCCACAAAAGTGAAGAAAGGTAAGTTATGAAATATTTCTTTTTATTTACGATTTTATCTATAATAACTAATTACTGATTAATGTAAATGAATAATAAATATGTGTGATACTACGAGCAATATTTATTTTATGAACTTATTATCATTTTTTATTTTTTTATGAGATTTTGAACATTTTGTTTTAGCAGTATTTTCTGTTACAGATGGATTTGATACGAGATCAAGATAAAATATTGCAGATTTTGAACGAGTCAGATAATGACGATGACGATTCACCATTTTTTGGACCATCTGGTGTGCCTTCGGACTCCGAACCTGATGACAACTTAGAGGAGGACTTAGTCGAGGATACCGACGAAATTGAAGATGATTCGTCGAGTTCTTCTGATGAAGATCTAAATGTTTCCCGGAGAAGCCGTAACAGAAACAGAATCCTAGATTCTGATGATGATTCTTTGGAGTGTTTGCAGCCTTGTCCACCCATAGCTTCTCACCAGGATCTGGTAATACAACCTGAGAGACCATACATTTATGGAAAAAACAAACATAAGTGGGCAACTACTCCACGCTCTTCAAACACTCGTGCATCGGCTCGAAACATTATTCATTTTGTACCCGGACCTAACAGTGATGCAAGAGATTTGGTAGAACCACTTCCATTATTTCATTTGTATTTATCTGATGAAATGATTGACCAACTTGTTATTTACACAAATGCAGAGATTGAAATAAAAAAGGTGAAGTACAAGGAACTCACTCATACTATTTCTCCAACTTCAGCTATTGAACTAAAAGCTTTACTGGGTCTTCTTATGCAATCAGCTGCTATAAAAAGTAATCATTTACCCACGAGAATATTGTTTGATGACAGAAGGAGTGGTAACATTTTCAAAGCCTGCATGAGCGCTGAGAGATTTGATTTCTTGCTTAAATGCCTTCGATTTGATGACAAAGCTACCAGACAAGACAGAAGAGCATCCGATAAATTTGCACCTATAAGAGAATTCTGGGAGAAATTCATTTGTCATTGCAAACAATGGTACAAGCCAAGTTCCTATCTGACAATCGATGAGCAATTAGTTGGGTTCAGAGGGCGCTGCCCATTTCGAATTTATATACCCAATAAGCCTAACAAGTACGGCATAAAAATTGTAATGGTTGCAGATTCTAATTCAAAGTACGTATACAATGCTACGCCTTATTTGGGTAAAGGAACCAATTGCGATAATATGCCTCTTGCCACACATTTTGTGAAACAACTCTGTGAGCCTGTCTATGGGACAAACAGAAATATTACGATGGACAACTGGTTCACTTCAGTGCCACTTGCTTCAGAATTACTTCAGGACCCGTATAAACTCACACTTGTTGGGACAATACGTAGTAATAAGCGAGAGATTCCACCTGAGATGAAAAACAAAAAATCAAGAAAGATTCATACTTCGATGTTTGCATTTGATGGTGAGAAGACTCTGGTCTCGTATAAACCAAAATCTAACAAGACAGTATTTCTTCTTTCGACAGTACACAGTCAGCCAGACATTAACTCCACTTCGAAAAAGCCTGAAATTATACATTTTTATAATAGTACCAAAGGTGCTGTCGACACTGTCGACCAAATGTGCTCAGCTATATGTGTCAATCGCAAAACCAATAGATGGCCTCAATGCGTGTTTTATAATGTCTTGAACCTGTGCCTAATTAATTCATATGTCATCTATGTGTCGAACATGGTCAGAGAACGGCAAAAACCAATGAGACGTAGGAGTTTCGTCCAAAGTTTAGCCGATAAGCTCATAGAGCCATGGTTACGAGAGCGGTATAACACTGTCACTTTGAGGAGGGATATAAAAGCTAGTATTAAAGATATTTTAAAAATTGAAGATGCTACTCCTAGTACCTCTCAAGCGCAACAAAATAAGCGTAAAATATGTTCTTTTTGTCCTTACAAAAAACACAGGATGACTAAATATGTTTGCAAGACGGCGATTTGCGGGGAACATACGGTTCCAGTGTGTGCCGACTGCCAAGAATAATTTTTTTTAACCTTTTGTTTTATTATGTGGTAATTTAAAAGACATTCCATATTTTAAGTAGACTTTTTCTAAATAAATACTCTAGTTTTGATAAATATTGCGGTTTTATTTTGTTAGTTTGTAGGACTAATGTTTAGTGACAGAGTTTGAAAAAAAAAAGTTTAGTGATCTAGGGTTAAAAGTATACGAAGAATCCGAAATCAGGCAATTTTAAAAGCTTAAAAGAAAAGATATTAGCGATTTAGATATTCCATATATGACAAAGTGTTATTAGCGATTTACCAAGCCATTAAACATTTCGATACTGAGTAGAAGGCAGGTTACTCATGATATATACAGATCATAAGGCTATTTATTGTACATTCACTTCAGAAAAATACTTTTGGAAAAAATTGATACAGCACTACAAATACGGCAGTTAGATTTTATAATGCAGTTTTGTACAGAGATAAAGCATATTTCGGGAGTAGATAATGTGATTGCTGACTGTTTGTCAAGAATATCAGCAATAGATGTATCACATTTAGATTATGAAAAGCTGACAGAAGCACAAAGAAACGACCCAGAGTTGGAAAATCTGTTGAAATCGAAGTCTCTAATGTTTCAGTAGTTGTACCCAATTGTAATACACGTGTTTATTGCGATGTGTCGTTAGAGCGTTGCAGACCATATTCGCCTAGAGTTTCGCGTATCAGCTTTCAACGCGATACACAGTGTCAGTCCCCCTGGCACGCGCACAACTAGAATGATGATGCAACATAGATACATATGGCATGGAATGAATAAAGATGTGACTCAATGGACAAAGAAATGTATTAATTGTCAGAAATCTAAAATTCAACGTCATACAGTATCTCCACAGGGATATGTTATCTTCAGCGATAGATTTGATCATTTACACATGGAGTCATGTTACCATGGTAGATAGAAAAACGGGTTGGCCAGAAGCTTATCCTGTAAAAGACAGTGCTGAAACTGTTGCAGATATCATGTTGTCAGGTTGGATATCAAGATTTGGTTGACCCATACGTATTACTACCGATCAAGGATCCACATTTTTGTCACAATTGTTTACACATTTGACCAGAAGGATGGGCATAAATCAATTTAGAACAACAGCGTACCATCGCTTAAAGCTGCAAGGGGGATGTACTGTGCCTACATGAGTAATATAAATGCATCAATATTGACTATTGTACCAACACTCATATCAAATAGCCTAAAAATGCCAGATAAAAACGCAAGTACAAGTTGTCCCCTGCCGCCGAGTAATTTCAGTCTTGATATCAACACCTCGAACATGCCTTTAGCTTGGAGAAACTTCAACACTAGTCAAGCGCAAGGTAAATTACCCAAAGATCATCGAGGACGTCATAATAACTAAAAATTTCCAATGAAGTTGCCTACATACGAAACCAGGCTAGCGCACTTCAAGATGTTGTCACTGGAGAATCGCAGAAAATTAATTGATGTATCGTTTGCCATTAAGATACTTAGCAATGAGGTAAATTGCCCCAACCTTTTAACAAAATTTAAATTTCGTGTACCCAGTAGATATCCCAGACATCCCATTATCTCATTTGTCCCTCCTTTCCGGAGAACGCGTTTTGGCCAAAATTCACCGATGTCCAGATTGAGCACTCTGTTAAACTAGCTGGATCTGGATATAAATAGTTGCTCCCCTCACACATTAAGAGCGAATTTCGTTTTATGTTTTTTTAAATTATATTATTGTTTTGCTTAATTTATTTTTATTATTTCTTATATGCTATGTTTGCCTGTAAGTGCTTGACACATTAAAAATTGTATTTTATTTTTCTTTTATCAATGTACTCGTATCATTGTGCCGAGCGTTGGCAAGCTTTTATAAATAAATAAAGAAGGAGAAGTGGCTGCTAGTACGTCAACCAAAATTTCAACGCCTGGCAAAAGTCGACCCCGGGAAAGAAAGATTCAGCTTGACGATTAAGACTACGACGAAACAAGAGTAAGACTATTTGCTGACGGTTGCGGCGGTCAGAATAAGAATACAATTTTAGTGGGCATGTGCATGAAATGGTTGTATTCAAACGCACCACCACACGTAAAAAAACATGAAATGATATTCCCCATGGTTGGACATTCCTTACCGTCCGACAGGGTATTCGCGAAAATTGAAAAGGAAGTAAAGAAGATGTCAGTCATATGCGACCCACAAATGTATGTAAATTTATTTACAAAACACGTAACTATTGTGAAACATTTGGGGGTGGATGTTGAAGTGTATGACTGGAAGAACAAAGTGACTAATGTATGCAAACCTCCTGGCAGCTGGCATTTCAAAATTTATTACAAACGATTTGTACTTCACAAAGGACACCAGAATGTAAGCGTACAAGGAGAGGAGAACTACAGAAACTAATGTACTCAGCCAAAATATGTGAATAAGAAAGGAAGTTGCGCGGAATTGGAACCTGTAATAAGACGAAAGAGGAATAAAATTAATATAAAAAAAAAATTGCTGTCTCGAACCTGTTATCGAAGCACTTTCGTGTAGACTGGAGAACTATTCAGAGTTAAGCTTACTATAGGAACATTGAAGCTAATAATGACAATTCCGAAGAACGTGAAGATCTAGTATGCGTACCGCTTGAAGAAAGTGACAATTGTGTTTGATACAATATTTGCGATATTAATTAAAGTTCAGATTTATTATTTTTGGTAGTTTTACTTTCTCTTAATCTGATATTTTCGAACACCTTGTAAGTTGACAATGACAAAGCGTAGTTGGCATCGATCTCCGCCACATCCATTTCTGTCAGAATCAAAATTCGTCAGAATATATCTACAGATAGTAGAATTGATAATTTTATAATTGAATTAGGAGATGATGATAGCGACACATCTGATGATACGGATGAAAGCCATGATTCAGATGTATGTCCTTTAGATGTTCACACGTATAGTAAAAGAATAAATTTTTGACGAAATAAATTTGCTTTTTTATTTCACGAATTTCATGATTTATGTTTTCTCCAACCTCGTTACCCTTTGTGGAGTTCCATAACTATGACATTGGCTGAAGGATTATTATGAAACGTGGTTAGTTTTATCCAGTTTCCCATCCCACGGAGCGCGAATAAACATGTATCTTTAAACCAAATAAATGTCTGCCTTATAATGAAGATAATTTATCTGCAGTAGTTTACCCCAGATTTTGGTGATTTGATTTCTTCAGACCGTAGCAACACTGATTTTAGTTCTACCAACCTAACGCTGAAGGGAACTATCTCGTAAAACGCACTATACATTGAGGCATTTCTACCACATACAATAAAGTCACTTATCGTCATCACAGATGGTTGTCGAGGCCAAAATGTCAATATCACCATGATGAGGTTTTGGGAGTCACTGGTCTTAAAAGGGAGATTTCAATCGGTTTGCTATTTTTTACCAGAAAGGGGGCAATCTTATTTGCCCTGTGATCGTCACTTTTCTATTATAGAGAAGAATCTAGAAAATTCCGACAATGTTTGTTCAGGAACTTCGTGGAATTGTGCATCCAGAATTGAAGACACATGTGTTGATAAGGTCACTAAACCTCTTACTCAACTGTATATAGGTCCATATCAAGTTTTATCCAAGACAGAAAAATATTTCAAAATTATGCAAAGAGACACACAAAGTAGAATAGATATGAAAGTAAATATAGATCGTTTAAAGCCAGCGTGTTACGCAGCCACCTCGCCTAAATCGCAGCGTTGCATCGGCCCGACAAACATTTCACACGGCACCAGGAGGCACGAGGCGCCTGGTCAGCGGAATGTGCCGATGACGTCAATTGACCCGCGCAAGATCGGTTTCCATTTTATATAGTTTCATAATTAGATCTAACATCGATCATTTAGCACTAATTTGTAATTTTAATTAATTGTAATTTTTGCATTTATTTGCATCCCTCGGCTGCACCCTAAGTAATAATGGTATGCAATAAGACACTCCAAAGACCTAGATGTACCAAATAAGAAAACGACTTTAAAAAATAGTTTAAAAGTATCGAGATTCGGACGACATGAAACCTGTCGTAAGATTTGCGTTTTAAACATATTTAAGTTTTACTGATTTGTATTTTTATTTTTTTTTATTTTAAAATTATAAAGGATTGTATTTTTATTTTTTTTTTATTTTAAAATTATAAAGGATTGTATTTTATTTTTTTTTATTTTAAAATTATAAAGGATTGTATTTTTATTTTTTTTTATTTTAAAATTATAAAGGATTGTATTTTTATTTTAAAATTATAAAGGATGTTTAATCTAGTGAGTAGTTTAGTCTAGTTACGGAATCAAATATTGTTAATTTACATCATTTTATTTATATTGTGTATTCACATCTTTGTCATAGAAATTCGCCGGATAAACAGAATCAAGCCAAAAAGACAACAGTAACCAGCAATTCTATGATAAAGGAAAATAAAAAAAACACATTTGATTTGATGAGACCAAGGTCAAGCTCAATTACTAATATTTCAAAGAACTCTAAGTAGCAACTTTACAACACATTAGCAACCAGATACAAAACAACCCCAATCCGGCTGGTACCCGTGGGGTTGCACGACCACCACCCCCCACAGAAATAGAAAAACATCCCTATATCAAAATAGAAACTACAATAATATACGTTGCAACGTTGATGTCGGACAACAGATTACAATAATTGGTTGAAGCTATAACACCTATAAAATGTGATGTCATAGGTCTTTGTGAAGTAAGAAGAATAGGAGAAGCTATAAGAGAATTCGAGAAATAAATTTTTTATTCTTATGGAAAACAAAAAGGGATATATGGAATGGGATTTCTAGTAAAAAAAATAAAATAATTAACTTCCAAGGAATATCAGATAGAATCGCCGTACTCAAGATTCAATTAACAGAATCTAAACAACCATGGTCCATTTTTCAAGTACATGCACCCACAGAACAAGATGAAAAATTAACATGACAGAATTAATGCAAAAGAAGAACATAATTATCATGTTAGACTTTAACGCTAAGATCATAGAATGGTGGTCAAATTAAAAGATCCACCAAAAGGATAGAGAAGGTCTGCCAAGGATAGATAGACGTAGAAACAATTGGGGGAGGCCTATGTAGACAGACAACCTGACCAAATTGGTTGCTAATAAATTATTATTTTCGCTATGTAAATTAGATTTAAGACACTACTGTTAAATAAGAGTAGCATGTAAATTTAAAGGTCAGTGAATAAAGGGCTTTTATTATTATTATTATCATAGAAATTGTTTTACTTTGTTTGTACATTTGCTATGTATTTTAATTTTATTAAGGGGGATGTACTGTGCCTACATGAGTAATATAAATGCCTCAATATTGACTATTGTACCAACACTCATATAAAATAGCCTAAAAATGCCAGATAAAAACGCAAGTACATGTTGTCCCCTGCCGCCGAGTAATTTCAGTCTTGATATCAACACCTCGAACATGCCTTTAGCTTGGAGAAACTTCAACACTAGTCTTGGTCATTACATGATTGCCAAGAATTTGGAAGAAGGATCAGACAAAATTTAGCCATTTTGTTAGAAACTATTGGCTCAGATGCTCTTCAGATATTTTACTCGTTCAATACAGAAATAGGCAAGATCACCTACAAGGATCTATTCACCAAACAAGGTCCAGATGAAGAAATTGAGACATATGCCACTGATCTCAAGAATCTAAGCATCCAATGCAATTTCAAAGGTCATGCCAATGATATAGTAAAGGACATATTATCATGGAACCTAAATTCATCTTGCTCGTACATCAGAGAATGTATCCTGATGGAGAAACCATCTTCATTTGATGCCACCGTCAGTCTCGCTAAAACAAAAGAAATACTAGGTTAAAGGCTTAAGCCTAAGATTTAAAGTGGTGGAACTAAAATCAAACATGATCAAGGATTACACAAGATTTTTTGAGGACTTCTTTATGAAGCCTGTGACGGTGAAAGTTAGCGAGTTAATTTCAATGTTACAAAATTTTAAAAATTCAAATTTCCTGCAGCCAAAATAGATGCATATGAAACATTAAATGAATGTAATCACTTCATTTTTCCAAACATGCTCAAAAAAACTGAAATCTCCTTTGAGGGCATTCAATGCCCTTATGGGTATTCTATACCTATCAAAATTGGTAAGCTAAATGATATACTTAAACTTGTACCCTTTTTAAAGAAACAAAATGCTGTAAATTATTATAAAAACCCCAAGGGTGACCTAATAATACAAATTCTGATGATGATAATGATTATGTGGAATCAGGGGCCCATTATGTTACACTGATTTTCAATTATATTCATTATTGTAAGTTTGTAGATATAATAGAAAATATGATTTTTTGATCTCCGGAAAAATTTAAATTTTTCATTTTGGTACCTTCCAGACCCCGCTTCAATTGTTCCTACCTGAATACAGTTTTTTTAGACCAGTACAGAGGGGAATTTTGGTTATTGGATATTAAAAATTATTGTTATTGTTAAAAACTAAATAATCAATCAAATCAATGTTTCACCTAAACAACGACTAAGACAAAAGGAAAGACAAGTTGCCCCTCAATATTGGGAAAAAATTCACACAAAGCAGACAAACAGAACAGACTGTAAAAATATGACCAAAGCTACAAAGTTTAAACTATTACAGGACTAAACACTTTCAATTACTAAAAAAACTAAAAGCCGGGTATCCTTGCACAAATGTCTATGCATCCTTAATAAGAGGGTATCTATTACAGAATGCACTGTAATTTTTATCAAAGCAACAAATACTGGCTGAGCCACAAATACATAATGTAGTCAAGACTCAAATAGCATGGCCAATCACAATATCAAACCTATGGAGTGTTATAAATGTGCTTCTTCATAACTAGAAGACAATAACCTTACCAAGATGCTATTATGGACAGAAATTACTTTCAAAAGATGATTTTATGAAAGTTCTCCGTTAAAAAACAACAAAATCAGTAAAAAATGTTTCGTAGCAACGATACACAATTGTTTAACAAAAAATATAATTTCATACCTATACAAATTACAAATAGCCCAGTCCTATTCATAAATCACGTATAAACTCTACGCATCAACGTTGACTTTATAATTCTTGTATCACTTAGAATATGTAATTTGCAATTCACATGATGCATTAAATAAACTTTAATCAACCAAATATATGGGCAGTGGGCACATACGGTGAATTGTGAAAATTGAAAGAAGTCGAGATTCTAGAATCGTCGCCGTTAGCGTGACCACAGAGTAAGTTGGGGTCCAGTGAACACAGATTAGCAATTTAGCAGGTCGCACTGCTGCGGGTTTCTGGGTTGCCACTCGCTAGTCGCGATATACTGCCGTCTCACTCAAATTATACATACCAGATAGAAACAAAACCTGTAGAGAATTAGTCAGTAGTATACATAATGTTATTAATTAGTATATTAAAAGCCTCTACGATACACACTAGACAAATAACGATCTCGGATTTTAAACTATATTGTAGTTGTTTCATAATCTATATAAATAAAACTAAATCGCAACATATGTTGCTAAGTGCAAAACTCAAAGACGGCAAATGATAGTATTTTTTGATTTTATTTATTCTTTAAACTCTGAGCCCTTCCTCAGAGTTTTTATAGATAGAAAATTTGGAAATATAAAAAAAATATGTTTTATTTAGTACTGAGGTGTTTATTCCGGAAAAGCGAACAATCTCTATGGTATAGCATAGCAAAATGTTCCGAACCTTCCTATAAAAAGGTAGGCTGAGTAAAAAAATTATATCAAGGCGAAACGAAGTTCGCGGGTGCAGCTAGTTATGTTTAAAGAAATACGACTATTTAATTGGTAGGCCAATAAACTATATAATAAGAGTACCTAACGAAGCACACTTTTTATCTCTACATGATCAGATTTGCGCAACGTAAACCACGTTTGACGCAGTTTTAAAAACCAAAGGTCTATTAGAAACCAGACTTCGCGAAGGCAAACATGTGAATGAATTTAATCATCTTGTTTTAGCGAACTAATCAATATAATTGGACAATCTGTGTATAACCAGTGGCTATACAGATTGTACACTGCAGTGTATTAGCCTGCATGCCTTCAGTATAGTCCCTTTATAATGGTTAATTTTTATTTACTGGCAATACTGATATCCATGACAGCGACGCTTTTACCGGCCAAGAAAAGTTTGTGGCACTATCAAAATTAGGGATGTGAAAAAATAATCGATTAAAATCGATTTTTTTATTACGCGATTATATACGCGATTTTTATATTTAAAATAATCGATTATTTTTATAATTGAAAATCAATCATAGTCGATTTTTCATCTGCCACCTCCCAACATTATGTCTGGTCTTTTATAACCCGGACCTCGAACTATTAGGGATATTCGATATACATCGATGTTTACAATGCGATACATTGAATCCGATTCTTTGAAGATGTATTGATATACTCGATGCGTTGATGTTTTTTTAGTAAAACATCGAAAAGATGATAAAACCAGTTAATTTTACAAAAACTCAAGTTTGAATGGAACACTATAATTTAAAAGTAATATAAATTTATTCAGCAGCACAAGATAACATACAATTAAAAAGACAACAAATATACTGCAATGTGCTACTGAAAAGGCATACACTCAGCATTTATCAAATTTCACTTAAAATCTATCAAAACGATTCTTAAACGTTAATTTGTGTTTATAATTTATATTGTTTATTTTTAATTTAAACTAAACCATGAAAAATAAAATATTTAGGGTGTATTTTGAAATTAATTCAAAAATTAGGAAAAAATAGATTAATAAAAAAATCGATTATTTATTAATCCATTTTTTAATGCAAAAAAAATAATCGATTAATGAAAAATCGATTTTTTATGCAGAATGTCACATCCCTAGTCAAAATTATAGAAACAATCTGTGAAACATCGTTAATATTATAAATAAAACACACATCCTGATAGAGGTAATTTATTGTAACTTATTACATAATAAAATACGCAAAGGACGTAAATAAATACTCAGGTTTAACCTCACTGAAATTTATATTTAAATAACTTATTACAAATAGCTTTGTTCAATACAATAGTTAATAATACTCATTTTTAAATTTCGCGGTCTTATTTCTCCTGCTCATTATTATAAATTTCAAAAAATACTATAGATGGCGCTTTTCACAAAAGGCCATACAGTATTAAAATTAAGTCCATCTAATAAGTATAATAAAAAAGCTTAAATTACTTTTTAAAAAGCAGCGTATTGTTTCTTTCGACTTTATTCTACGTAGCATATATAATTTTTTCGACTTTTTTTTAATACTATTTTCAGTGAGGAACCTTAACACAACGGCAGGCATCTATTAGTATGATTAAATCTATTATCGCTCTGTCTTAATCTCAGTTGAAATTATCTATGACTTAAAGTAACATATAAAGAAATATGCAATAAAAATATGGAACACTTAAATTGAAATAAAGAATTTAAAACATAAACTTGACATATGATGTTATAATTTAAATTGCTTTTTTAAGTAATAGATAATTATAACTATTAAGAATGGTAACAGGTGTTTCTGCGTTGTACTTGTTCTTTAAGTGCAGTTGACATTACTTTTAAACACTTTTAAATTAATAATTCACTTTAAAAATTAAATATAAATAAAGAAATGATTTATATTTACAGAAAAAATGTTTATAAAACTTATCACATTAGCGAATTATTTTTATAAATTCTGTTAAATATAAAATAAAGTGTGATTATTGATTTAAAAGCATCTTAAGTGCTAGACTTAAAGTCCAGCAACAATGCTAGCTGGGTCTTCTACGCCCTGCTTGATTTTTCTCAAGAATAGCACCGCTTCACGACCATCAATCAATCTATGATCATAAGTTAGGGCTATGTACATCATGGGTCGGATCACAACCTGCCCATTCAAGGCAATTGGTCGTTCGAATATTCCGTGCATTCCCAAGATACCCGATTGTGGTGGGTTAACAATTGGGGTGCCCATTAACGAACCAAACACTCCACCGTTGCTAATAGTAAATGTACCACCGTCCATTTCTTCAATAGTTAACTTACCGTTCCTGGCTTTCTCAGCTAGTGCAGCAACAGTCAATTCAATGTCAGCATATGTCATTGTTTGAACATTTCTAATAACCGGCACAACCAGTCCTTTTGGTGTTGCTACAGCAACTGATATGTCTACGTAATCCCTGTAGACGATTTCATTACCATCAATCACAGCGTTGACTACTGGTTGATCTTGCAATGCACTAGCGGCTGCCTTAACAAATGGAGACATTAAGCCAAGTTTGACACCAAACTTTTTAGTGAAAGCTTCCAAGTTCTTCTTTCTAAAGGCCATTATATGGGACATGTCTACTTCGTTGAAGGTTGTGAGGAGGGCGTTTGTGTCCTGTGCCTGCTTCAGACGTTCAGCGATACGCTGTCTCATTCTGTTCATTTTCACGCGCTGTTCGCTACGGGTGCCGACAATTTCTTTGCTGTAGTCACTGGGTGGGACACGGACTGAAGCTGTTTCTATAGCTTGGGCGTGACGGATAGCTGCGACAGGGATAGATGAGATAGGCGCTCCGGCTTTAGGGGCTTGGGAAGGAGGCATTTGGGGTTTAGGTGGGGGTGGAGTAGGTGGTGCAGCAGATGGTGGTGGAACTGCAGCTGGCGGCGGGGCAGCAGCTGGAGGTGGAGCAGCTGCCGGTGGAGGAGTTGGTTCGGATTTAGCTTCAGCTGGTGCCTCCTTTTTTGGTGCCCCACTGGTGATTTCTAAACGAAATAACTTTTGTCCTGCTTTTACAGTTTCTCCATCCTTTACGTATAATTCCTTGATGATTCCATTGTCTGGGGCCATGACAGGGATAGCTGTTTTGTCTGTCTCGATTTCTAGTACTACGTCGTCGGCTGCGACCGCATCACCAACTTTCTTATCGAGTTTTACATCACCCTCTGATACGGAATCTGGGAAACTAGGGGTCATCACATCCTGTTCAGCCATTAATGGGTTGGTAAAATGAATAGAGGCTACCTGGCTATGGGTGAGAACCCTAGGTTTCAGAGTTGCATGGTGAGCAGCTCCATAGATCTTGGGTATTTCTGTCGACCGAAACCGGATGACTTGGCTCTGCCGTCGGTATATGGCCTGAAGGTTTTTTGAGCAGCGACGCAACATTTTGGTAGATTTACCCTGAAACAACAAAATAATATGCAATTAATAACAAGGGATATCCAATTTTAGGTAAAATCATTATAGAATTAAAAGGCCAAACCAATACAGAATTAAAGAAATATTATAAAATTACTAAAACTTAAAGCAAAGCACCTATACAACATTAGGTCATACAAAATACTTGACAATTAAACTGGTAGAAACAGTTACAGGTCTTCTCATTTGACAACTGGCAGCAAATGTAAATTTAAATAAATTAACAAATATATTATATTTTGACCGAGGTTAAGATTAAGAGTCGAGATTTAAAGCTAAGTTTGAATATGGCAATAATTTTTACTAACAAATTCTTTCAATCTTACTGCAATACTGACTCACTGGGTTGCTATGCCAGTGAGTAATTAGTATGCAGACCAATATTAGGTAGTAAATATGCAATATCTTATCACAAACTCATAACAACAAGATTATGTAGTATGAAATTCTTAAAATATATAGTGCAAAATTCATATTCATTAAATATATTTTGTTTTAATGATACTAGTTCTAGTAATGAGCCCTTAATGCTCACATTCTCCAACAATGGTATAATAGTTCTTACAATAAACTTAGTCTTACTTTTTTTATTATCGTAGTCTTACTTACTTATTTTAATAAAATTATAATGGTCATGATAATAAAAGAATGCTATTGCATTTACCATACGCAGCATCTAGAAACTGGTTAATATAAATACATTAATGAAAAATCTATAAACACCCCGATAGTTTGTTAAGTTGAGATTCTGCCAAAAATAATGTTTGTTCGGATTTAGCGTTCTTATAATATATATTATTCAATAACCCTAATTATATCATTTAGTTTTAGTTTTATTCTTTTACAGGAAAATAACTTAATTAATTAAAATTACAATTGCATAGTGGTTTTCAACTCAATATTTGAAATAAACCCTTATCAGAACAGATTGTAATAACTAAGATTAAAAACTCATTAGTGCAAAATAAAATAAATATGTTCCAAATTTAAAAGTATACATGTTAAATACCGTGATTTTAAGACTGAATGACACAGGGGTCGATGTAAATTGTTTATTAAATAATGTTTATCTACTAATAATGTTAATGTTAATCACCTATTAATTAGTGATATGGATGATATGGTTAGGCTCGGTGTAAAATGCAAGGTTAGGTTAATTATAACACAAAAGCATCCTTACCTTAGGCTAGGTAAACAATAACCAGATGTATTTCAAAAGTTATTTTCAGTTTAAAGTGTTACATAAGCTAAGTCCCATGACACTACTACGCGAATTCTGTATCGATTTTTGCTAGGTTATTTAGATCATAGCTGTTAAATAACGCACGTAAAGATCACAAAATATACTTCACTTTTAAGATAACTGCGCTGCTTTAATTAGTTATAAATAGGCCCAAGATCTACATTTATTTCGTCCGACGAGTCAGTCTTTTTCGCCTTGATCGAGTTGGCGCCGCCTGTCACGCAAAGTGGTGCAACCTGCCTTTCGTAGTCTTTTGACTGTTAGCCATTTGACTTTCGTTTTCGTACAACGGAACGCAACTTTAAATAAGTATTTTTTTAAATAATTTCAGTCTGCTTTTAAAACTATTTATTATTATTATTTATGAGTTATTTAAAGTCTGAAATATGGTAAGAAATGATGTAAGTTGATATTACTTGTAACAGCGCCATCTATTAAAATATGAGTGCAATCAAATAACAAATGACTGTTTGACAATGAAATTTATAAAAGTCCAATGCTAGATGACCCTGTAGAAAAGTTAGACCTCGTATACCAGATTTGAATGTTTGAATTTAGTTTTAGTTAAACAGCATCGTTTATTTTAATATTTATACGAAAAATCTTACAGTACTTCTGACATTTTGACTATGCGTGAAACAAGTATATACTAATGAGCCAGAAATACAGAATAGAATATAATATACCTATACTAACTTCGTATCGTAACGCATAGTGCGTGTAACCGGAACGTCTTTGGTATGATTCAATCTTGTCAATTAAAAAAACTATTTTGGACCGAAACGATGATTAATAGTGTTTGCCCCATGCCCCAAGGCGTTTAGACTTATACATTACTTGAGACACCTACGTCGAATCACTTGCACTTAAGTGCCGATTTCGCAGTTCAGACTGTCAAATGCAGAATGCACAATTGATGACGTCATAAAGGAAAATGGCTGCGAGGAGTTTTATTTTTCATTTGCAAAATATATTTAGTGAGGAAAAACAATCTGGTTATCACGAATAAATCGAAATTCTCTTGTCTGTTTGTTCTAATAACTTGGAAACTACTGCACGCTTCTACGAAATAGAGCGGCTCATGATGAAGGAATTGAAGGTAGCATTTACCTCCACCGTTCAAGTATTACGTAAGCACTATAGGGAGGAGGGGGATCTTTGATTTTCTTATTTGGTGATTACGTCAACAGTAATTATTAACTTTTTTACACATATTACCCACACATTGTCTATGCTTGAAAAGGAAAAGCATTTTGAGGATTCCTACAAAAAAATAATAATGTACTATTATTTTTGAGAGCCTAGCTTACTTTTGCTGACAAGAGAATGGTGGGGGGTGGGGGATAAATTGCAATAAATCTGGTTACGTAATACTTGAATGGCCCCCAAAGCTTTTTTCATCGCCATGTTTGGAGTCATACAAATATAGTATTGTCTTTGATTAACATAACCTTTACACATTTAAAGAAAAAAGCTTTTACCGGATTAAAGTTAATATGTATTATTATAAATTTGACATTCAACATCTTCTGTCTTCAGTCACCGTGACCACGCACGCTGTAAAGCACGCGAAACGTCGGTTAAATTTAAAATTATGTCAAATAATTGTAAATTTATAATAATACATAACTTTAATCCGGTAAAAGCTTTTTTCGTCATACAAATAGTTTGAACTGGAGCAAATCCATCTTAAGGAATAGGATCATTTAAATAATCGTCAAATTTATAAAAAAGCTTTTTTAATTTATTTATATTTAAAGAGAGTTTTGAATTTATTCAGTGATAATTATCTAATTTCGCTTGGGAGTTTCTTGTAAAAACGAATACAATTTCCATATAAAGTTGAAGTCGTTAAACCTACGACCTCAAGGATGACAGTCGTACCACTACTTGTAATTTCCATCCTCGCCCTAGAAGTTATTGATACATACATTCTAAACCTCACTGCTGGCCTTAGAAATGGTTTGAGCACTCGCCCGGTACCATACAACCCTACCAAAGGCCGAGAACAAATTTAAATTTAATCAAAACTTGCATTCGAACCGGGAATCGAACCCGATTACCCTCACCTAGCAGCCACTTAATAAGACCGCTAGGCTATAAGGCCCTTTACGCTGAAGCCACTAGGCGAACACAGAAGAGCAAAATCTATATAGATAAATATTTTACCACAGATCATGCATTTCTATAATCTATATATCTTAATATATATAAATTACGTGTCACGCTGTTCGTCCGCTATGGACTCCTAATTTACTTAACCGATTTCAATCAAATTTGCACAACGTGTGCGGTTTGATCTAACTTAAAAGATAGGATAGCTTACATCTCAATTTATACCTATATTTATTTTATTGCAAAATATTTGTTTATTTTTTGATAGTCACAATTCTAACAGATGGCACTGTGGTGAAAGTACCAACGTTTCACATAAGCTACAATTTAATGAAATAACCACCAAAAAAGCATGGTGGTCCCCATGACTGGTGTTCTCCTACCGTTTCCCTTGAATAGGTTACTACTATGTACTATAACTAAAACCTTAGCCACAACAACGCTTGACTGTATCTGCTAGTATATATATATATAACAAAGTCGTGTTAGTTACACCACTTTTAACTCATGATCGGCTGGACGGATGTTAGTTATCTCTTTTTTGGTGGATTCTCCTCCGCTCCGAATAGCAGAATAAGTAATAATATATCGGATAAGTTATCGATAATTTTATGCAAACACCATGTGGAGCCATCCGTTGACAAATTACGCATCATTATATGCCGAATTCGTGTCAAAAAAATTCAGATCTTGAGGTGAATGAGGAAATGCATAACCAGGCTTTGATCTTGATCGAAGACATGTGTTGCCTCATCAATAAATTTTGTATATCAGAAAGTGCTTTAACATGCAGTATCGCAATATTGGCGCTAGAGAGAAGAGGCCTAATGTATAAAACTGTCACTCTTCTTTCGCAATGACATTGACACAACTGTATTTGCAAAATAGTTTTATTTAGTAGTTTATGCAACTGTCATATAATAGAGGGTATTAAAACATGAGTGTAGTTTTTTAGTCAAAATAAGATTACACGAGTGTTTTAATACCTAATTATATGCAGTTGCATACATTACTTTATTTAATCTCATGGTTTTCAAGTCATAAAGTCTTTTGGTAACATTTTTCGTACGCTTTTCTTGATTTTTCTGGCAAAAGACTATTCGTCAGTTTCGTAGCTGTTTCTAGAAAGTCAATTTTCATCGGTATCGTCGGTGTTGCTTGATATTTTTGCTACAAATGTTTTTTCCAACTCAAATACTCAAATTCCGGTCTATTAGCTCGGAACTAGCGCGTTGCGCGCGCAGCGCGCTCACCACAGATAATGTGTACCTACTTAAATAGAATTGAAACCTCCTTGGTCGGGACACATTTTACTTTTATAATTAAAAAAATATTTTAAAGCATTGATTTGTTATGAGAATAATGCTTTAATTTAATTTTCTTAAATAATTATGTAATAAAATATTACAATAAAAGTCTGTATTTCATTTTATAGTTAGAATATTACCGAATGAGATTATATAAATGTTATTACTTTAATGAAATCCTTAATTAAGTTTAACTAAAGTTAACACGATATTATTAACACGATAGTTTATTATAAATGAATCATGTAACAAAATACTACATTGAACGCTGTACTATAATGCTCATTGTAGATGAATGATCTTTATTTAGAATATGTAAAGAATAATGTCTGATTATTTATAATAGATCTCATTATATGGGAATAAAATTTGCTATTATTATCAACATAATCACAAAGATTCGTTTGTCCACGTGATTTGAGTCAATCGTATTTTTTTAACATCAACTGAGGGAAAACGTTAAGTGATACCGTGCCCATGGATGCCAGAGGGCTCGCGAGTGCGTTGCCGGCCTTTTAAGAATTGTAACGCTCTTTTCTTGATCCTAAGTCGAATTGTTTCGGAAATACTTTAGTGGGCAGCTGGTTCCACATAGTGGGGGGTTCCATCACAGGGGAGGGGAGGGGGGTGTATAAATTGCAGTAAATACTGGAACGGCCAATATCGATTAGTAATCATAACAATCAAATATACAATATTCACGATTTTCGTAACCTACATAGTAATAATAAAATTTAATTAAAAGAAAATTAAACATGTTGATCCCTTTGGAGTAGAAACTCTTGGGCCGTGGGGTTCAAGTGCACAGGCGCTAATTAAAGATTTAAGTTGGCGCCTGGTAGATAGTACCGGTGTCCCCAGAGCTGGTGCTTTCCACAACGAATAAGTATCGCAATACAACGAGGAAACGCTGTCAAAGGTACACTGCCACAGGGACCAAACTTTTTAAATGTGTTTTAATTTTCTATTTTTTAATTATTTTTATGAAAAGTATATTCGATTAAGAAATACCAAAGCCCGTCCCATAAATACTTTAATTAATTTATATAATATTGATTCCGTGGCCGTGGAGCTCCCACTTATTTCCAATTCGTACATTTCCTTTTTAAAATTCCCGTTAATACATTTTAAATGAATATTGATTGTCAATTGCAGACTCTGTTGACATGTCGACGATATCATTAAAATCAATCTGTCTGCACATTTTTTTGTGTCTTTATTTATATATCCTACTAATATTATAAACGCGAAAATTTGTAAGTATGGATGGATGTTTCTCTCTTTCACGATAAAACTACTGAAAGGATTTTAATTAAACTTTACAATAATATAGCTTAAACATCAGAATAACACATAAAATACAATTTATAAAGATACTAGCGACCCGCCCCGGCTTCGCACGGATGCAATGATACTAAATTCAAAGTGCTACAGAGTATAGGGAGAACCGCGGCCTCCGACGCGCTGCGTCCCGCAATTTTTAAATTTGTATTATCTTCGAAAATATTTATTTAAATCATATGCTGTAAAGGGCCATATAGATCTATATTAAATCAACAATGTATTTAAGGTATTTAATTAGATAAGGATTAATGCTGTATTGGTTAAAATCGCATCGAAAATTAGCCATTATTTGTCGTAAAAAAATAAATTACAAAAAAATTTTATTGTGGGATATCCATAAGAGATATACCATTGCGGAGTTTCTGTAGAATATTTACGATTTACGACATCACATTAGAAACCTCAAAAATAACAGTATTTCTCCACTATTTAATGGATGTTATTATACATATAAACCTACCTCTTCAATCACTCTATCTATTAAAAAAAACCGAAGCACCGACTTTGTTGTTTTATATAGAGACTAGTGGACCCCACAGACGTTGTCCTGCATGATATTTAAAGCGATTAGGATATTAAGCAAAGTATGAAAGTACCGACTGCAGTGCCATCTGCCGGGCTGATTTGTGAATCTAAACCATTCCCAGATCCCCTTGAACACACACAAAAAATTTCATCAAAATCGGTCCAGTCGTTTGAGAGGAGTTCAGTCACATACACACGCACAGAAGAAATATATATATTAAGATTATGTGTGTATTGTCCAAACTATCAAGTAGGAAAAAAACTACCATCTGCGAACTATTCTGGCGTGCGCTGCCAAAACCGCTAGAGTTACACATATGTAATGTATGATGGAAATGTTTATCGTAAATAGTCCTACACAAAAGCCCGCCACAGTATATATCTGTTAATGTAAAATTGTAAAAACCGTTAGATTGTAATCTATCTCGCGAGATTATAAACTGTCGAAAGATTGTGAACCTCAGCGTACTGTTACAATTTAACGTATTATTATTCGGTAGATTGTAATCTATCGAAGTGAAACCGTCAAACTGTGAAACGGCCATTTTCTACTTTTCTATTAACTCGAAATCGAATACAAAAATAGATTTTCACTTTTAAAAAATAGATTATTTTTGAATAATTTCAGAATTTTCGGAACCATACACTAATTGAAACATGAAGTTAATGTAATGTATGTACATTTGACAAGTAATGGTTAAATTAGGTTTAACTTTAAAATTAACAAATAATGAAATAATCGATTCGATTAGGTTCAACTTTAAAATGAACAAATGAGGAAATAATCGATTCGATTAATTTACCGAGAATGTCACATCACTTATAACCAATAGAAAACGAGAATGTCACATCTCTTATAACCAATAGAAAAGTAGAAAATGGCCGTTTCACAATTTGACGGTTTCACTTCGATAGATTACAATCTACTGAATAATAATACGTAAAATTGTAAGCAGTTTGTTGAGGTTCACAATCTTTCGACAGTTTACAATCTCGCGAGATAGATTACAATCTAACGGTGTTTACAATTTTACGTTAACATATCTATATCTTATGTGTAAGCCATTATAGCCAAAATAGTGAACCATAATTACAATAAAAATTTATAATTTATTGAAATGCTCATTTGGTAGTAATAAATTGTATTCCTAAATGAAAATACAGTAGAACCTCGATAACGTAAACCTCGGTAACATAAAAACCTCTGTTACTTCAAAAAATACTATGTTCCCTTCCCATCAGAGCCCAAAACCTCTATAACTTAAAATACGCAACCTCTATAACGTAAATAAATAATCTCTGTATAGGCCCTCAGTAACTAAAAGAAATGTTTCCACAACCTCTATAACATAAAATTGTTTGTGAATGAGTCATTTTATAAGAGTGTCAAAACAAATGGTTTCGGTATTTATTGCTTGCACGTGTTTACTAATGTATTGTTAACGTAAACAATACATTACCTATTGTTTGCTTTATCTAAATTCTTCAAAGCTTTGCGGCGGTTAGCTTTGTGACAACGACTTACTTGCATCATAAGTTAATGTGTTAATGTATTCTCCTCTCTATTTGTCATTGAAAATCAAATCGATTATAAACAGTGAATTTTTTAAAACAAAAGAAAATCACAGTTTTTTTTAAGTAGACTAAACCTTTAGTTGTTGTTTTATTTTTATGTAATGTAAGTAATGTGAATAAATATGATTAAATATTTAATTTTCCATCCTTCTGATGCATTCAAGTAAAAATGGGAGGAAGGGTACATAGAAACATGTACATACCTCTATATTAGCCTTTACCTGACATAGAACCTTGATAACTTAAAACCTCGATAACATAAAATATTTTGTGTTTCCCTTGGACTTTATCTTATCGAGGTTCTACTGTACAAGATACTTTTACCGTTTCTGGAACTTAAAGTACATAAAATATGTCTTTCACGCCATCATTTCACATCATCTTAATCCTGCGCAGACGAAGTCACGGGCACCAGCTAGTTGTTAATAGTTTTACGCCCGGACCCAATCCATAATCCACCATCTGAGATAGTAATCTTAATCCTAATAGGAGGTCGTATCGGTGTCTGTGGATAGACCTTTGTATGAAAATGACAGTTAACGAAAGCTCGATTTCAACAGTTAATTATTTTAACAGATTATAACTGACACCAGTTTTGTAAATAATGAAAAAAACTGTTTGTTATGTTTTAAACATACACATGTATATTTTAATTTTATTTGTACGGTCTATTTACTTTATTTGGTTTATATTGATTATAAAATATGAGTGTAAACTCGGTAAAATGGAACGACAAAGAGCATTTTATCCGTCGCCAAAAATGGATTGTCTTCGTAGGGTTTGGTTATTGGGATGCATCGATCTACTGTCACGGTCTGATCTCAGATTGTTTTCAATCTGATTTTGTGGATTGATTATTGTGTTCGGGCGTTAGCTTACGCGGTATAACGAATGTTTGATACTTTCTACACCTTGGCTTACATTGTCGAAGTTTTCCTACTTCTCCTTCAGCGATTATGTAGGTCTATGTAAACAATCTTATGTTTATATTCTTAACCCCTTCGGACCTGAATTAAATATTGACGATAAAAAAAATATTTTTTATGTTTGATTAGCTGATTAGAGTGTAAAGAACATATTTTCATAAAAAATATAATTTTCCTTTTACAGTTTTCTAGAAAATTTTATGTCCACTGAAATGGACGTCAGGTTCTAAGTGTTGTTTCTCAATGACGTGTACCCGGATTTATAATAATAAATTAATATTTAATTTAGTTCACAACGTTACTAATATTGTCTTTTATTAACGCGAGTATCATTTAAATTATTTTACAACGTCGGCATAAATAGTATAAATCGCGTTTTAATCCGTTATCAAGTTGTTTTATTTAGAATGTTACTATTTTATCTCATACCTATATAGGATAGGTTATTGAATAAAAAAAACTATGTATCAATGAAAATGTTTAGTTTCTAACATATTAATTAAATTAAGATTTTTGGTGAAAAATACGGAAACAATTTCTTTCACTAGTGAAACAGAGATGGATTTCGCATTTGAGGCAATAAACATGTGTTTTGCCCTTGCATTCTGGTTTTTTACATCTAGTAGCTTCCTTTTTTTTATCGTATTCTGGCAGATGATCAACAGTGTCGTACTGAACTTCAGGTATTGGTCTCATTTCAACTTGACGTCGTCGAGTTTGTGGAAATGTTGGAATGCTTATGGGACTGCTACTTCCAGAAGATGGACGTCCTCTTTTTCTGTTGTTTAGTGGCAGTCCCATTTTTAACAGCGAATCTGCTACGCGCTGCCGAAAATGGAGTAAATCCAGAATATCTCTCTCAGGTATCTTACACATGGCACAGTCTGCCTGATATTCCAACCAACTGTTAGATAGTGATAAATCGATGGCATGGAATATCATACGAAGCGTCCATTTTTTCGATCGAATAAAAATACGGTACAGGCTTATTAGATGATCTGTTTTATCTACTCCTCCCATTCCATTATTATATAATCTTACTAGCTCAGGGCGTGGAATAGATATATACGCCTTGGATACTTTATTCCATCTTCGAGCTTCGTCTTGCTCTCCAACACCAACAAAATTGGATGCTAAGATGACACCTTTGTTATCCATCCACTTCAGGACCACCACATCTTTTGAACTATTGGTTACCTGGTCAGAAAATCCTCGGTGCTTTTTTGCTCCTTCTTTATCTGTAATGAGAGGGGGTTTTCCAAACCTGTCTAATCTGATTGTCCCTCCAGCATAAATTTGTCTATCTCTAAGGTCTTGCAACAAAAGGTAATTGGAAAAGTAATTATCGTAGAATAAATAATGTCCAGGGCTAATTATTCGCTTTGCCAGTGCATTTACATATGAAGCAGATGCTCCATATCTTGCGATATCATTTTTATCCAGGTTCGTACTTGCTCCCTGATAAATGATGAAATCATATACTAATCCACTCTTGCCACAAATCATGAATATTTTGATTCCCCACGGCTCTGGTTTTCCTTTGACGTACTGTTTGATCTCAAGTTTTCCTCGAAAAGGAACAATTTGCTCATCAACACTTAGTGTTTGCTCCAAGTCGAGTTCCAGACACCTTTTTCGGACTGAATCATATAGGGGTCGAACTTTGATGAGACGGTCAGTGTTATCGCATGGAATAGAATTATTATCAATAATATGTAAATTATTTCGCAGCTGTAAAAATCGATCTCTTGGCATATTCTCTAAAAAAACCTTCATGTCTAGACATGTATTCCAATACAATCGTATACGTGGAAACTTTAGATTTCCCATAATAATATGAAGAGCAAAAAACACTTTCATTTCTGTTGCATTACATGGCTTGAAATTCCGCACTTCTTTTATGGTGGCGTATAGATTTGTATTGAAAACAAACTCATCTATTAGAGCTTCTGGGATATATTTAAAAAAATATTCAATTGGTAAAAGTGGAGATTCTATATCAGATGGCAAAGGAGCTGTCCAAGTAAACTGTGGTGGATTGAATTCTAAATGTCTTCTCCAAGTTATATCCGCTTTACGCGTTTTAGGCTGTCGACTGGATTGAGGAATTGGCTCTTCTGGGTTTGGTTGGTGTTCAATTTCTTCTTCATTTATCAAAGGTTCGTTGGGGAGGACGATATTACTACCTACACGAGGCGGCGGTTTTGAAATATTCTGTAGAATTTCATCATCGCTTTCTTCGTCGATATCAGACAAGGTCCCATTTTCAAGAATGTTGAGCAAATTGTCAACGTCTCGTTGCCTGGATAAGTCAAAACCTGAAAAATAATAACAAAGTAATAAAAAATAGTATGTTTTATTCAAACTTATCGCAATAAAGGTTTATGCTCAAATTTATCTATTGGAACCTGTTGTCCATTACAATGGACATGACAATAAGTACAGATTTCACATAGTAAGATACAAAGATTCATGATTATTATTATGTCTGCATATAAACTGAACACTATTCTTTGAGAAAAAAAATAATTCAACTTTATACATAACAGCTATATTCAATAAAAATAAAACAAAAATAAACTTACGTGTTTGTCGGCTGTCCATGACTGTTCACTACACTTGATTAATTATTTCTACCTAACAACATCACATTTCTTCAACGTTGTTTATAATATTACGATCCTAAGTACTTCTCGGATTTCTAGCATTGTTTATATTCGACTTTTGATAAAACCGAACAATATAATGAGTGTTTTACGAGCATGTCCACTTACATGGACGCCAGGACTGAAGGGGTTAATGTAGATTGCTTTGAGAGTTACCAGAGAGAGAGAGAGAGAACTTATTTATTTTTATCTCACACAGTTTCATTGTATTTTTTTTATTTCAAATAATCTTTAATGTAGATATAATATTCTACGGTTTCGATATTTGTAAATATGTGAGGAACATGTATACTAACTTTTTAGTATAGTAGTTTTATTCTGGGAGTACATTGTCATCACATATATTTAACTAATGCATACAAAATATTGTAAACCGTTTAAAAAAGTTTCTTGCCGATTCTTTTCTACACGAAACCTTTTAGAAGGGGCAACTAGAATCTAGAGTCTTTGTATTTCATTTGACGTTCAAAAGTGCCATGTTAGGTGGTCTAATTGAAATAAATGATTTGACTTGAACATCATGATGACGGGAAGGCGACTTTGCAGGACAATAGTGTCTTAATATCCCGTATTATTCAAATCAACAAATTATTCTGTAAGTACAAATAGGTGGCAAACGGGCAGGAGGCTCATCTGATGTTAAGTAGACCGCCCATGGACACTCGCACTGGCAGAAGGCTCGCAAGTGCTGGCCTTTTAAGTAGGACGCTCTTGAAGGACCCTAAGTCGAATTGGTTCGGAGATACTTCAGTGGGCAGCTGGTTCCACATAGAAACCAAAAACTGCCTTAAGAAACGCACAGTTGTGGAACGGACGTCGAGATGATACGGATGGTATTTTGTGTTCTGGCTTGATAATGAAACTAATATTTATTCATTAAAACGAAGAAGGCTTTCTACAATGATCAAGTACGACCTCATATGGAATACTGCTCACATCTCTGGGCCGGTGCTCCCAAATACCAGCTTCTTTCTTGTGACCAAATTCAGCGAAGGGCTTGTCGAATTGTCAATCTCCAATGTCTTACTGATCTGCTTGATTCTCTCTCGCTACGCAGAGACATTGCGTCTCTTTGCGTTTTCTATAAAGTATACTACGGAGAGTGTTCGGAAGAATTGTTTGGGTTGATCCCTCCTGCCTCTTTTCAACACCGTACGAGCCGTACGAGCTCTAAATTTCACCAACATCATCTTGATGGTTGGAGGTCTTTCACAGTCCGTTTCACAAAGCGTTTTCTTTTGGGAACTAGTGAACTGTGGAATCGACTCCCGGTGGGGGTCTTCCCTCAGAGATACGACCTCCAAATGTTTAAAAATCGAGTGTACTCCTCCCTCAAAGGCCGGCAACGCACGCACTAAAAATGGATGTCTATGGGCTGCCCTTTTTGGTCGTCCCGCAAGCTCGTTTGCACCCCTATTATATAAAAATATTAAAAAAAACTTTGAAAGTGTTTTAAATTGTATTATTTAAGCACAAGTAGCTATTACTGCCAAATCTTAAAGAAATCGTTTCAAGTCTAGTAAGAGCATTCTCGCCGGGTGGCATTCCTGCTCCTAAATAAATACTCAAGAATGATGGTATTATAAAATCTAAGTCTATATGTACACGCTCATACAAAATGTTTACCAAGGCACAAATCGAAGAGTTCTGCTCACAAATTTAGGGATTTTTGAAGTTATACTACTTTTGGCGCGGTACCGAAAAATTATGGGAGTAAATTTTTACGATGCGCGTGCACACCGTCACAAAAAAACCGACACCCTGAAGTTAGCATAGCCATCTTTAAAAAAAATAAATGGTGCGTGTACTTATGTACGCGCGTAAGAAGTTATGCTTCTTTGGCTTTCTTTATTTTTTTTAAATATTAAATAATTAATATTTAGCGTTAATAATTTAACAATATTTAATATTTAGTATATTATTCAATTATTAATTAATATTAATAATAATTATTATTTTATTATATTATTAATTCAATTTAATAACTAGGTATGTTTCATAACTTTTTAATTAAGTAACAATTTGTGAAAAAGCTTTGCTAAATTTCTTTGAAAAAATAATTAAAACTCCTTTATTTGTTTAAAAGGTACTACAAATGTCATTATGGTCATTCAAAATTCTTGGCATAGCTGCTAACGTCACGCATATTCTATTTCTTTTTACTTGTAGATTGTCTTATTCCCATCTCGCTCGCGCACGCTCGGCGCCCATACTGATAATTTTGTGTCACGGTGCGCGCGCATCGTAAAATTTCACTCTCATAAATTTTTCATAACGCGCCTAAAGAAGTATAACTTCAAAAATGTATATTTATTTAATTACGTAGAAATATTTTTTTGTGATATTTAAATAAACTTTATTTAACTAGATAATGCGTTATAAATTGTAATAAAACTTTCAATGTAATAAATACCTTTTTTCTATTGTTAGTGTCGATTTTTCTACAAACGTAGAATCAAATTTTTGAAAAGATTTTTATCTTGTTACGCCAAAGAAGTATAACTTCTAAAGGTGGGAACTGACCAAAGTTACGAGGTGTAATGTAGCATTCGCATCGAGCGTGTTACGCATCGAGCATGTTACGCTGTGTTTTAAAATCGGCGTAACATGCTCGACAAAACTTTGTGCTCCGCTTTCGCCGCCAGTGTTCACGAGATGGCCGACAGCGAGGACGCGTTGGCATCTTTGATTCTACTTAATTATTGTTTCATCCAAATTAAGAAGAAGAAAAAACGTTACTGGACATCAAATTTATTTAAAAACAGAGGCGTATGTGGTGGTTTGTCATTGATAGCAATTTTAAAAAACCAAATGATTACTGGACAGTATAAAAACTTTGTACGCATGTCTCCTATCGATTTTGAACAACTCGTGAATTTAATTGGACCAAAAGTACTTAAAAAAGACACAATTTATAGAAAATCATAATCATGATCACTCGTGCGACGCGTACTGACTGAACCACGTAACAGTCAAATGATTCGCCTAAAAACCGACAGCCGGGTGGAGCACTCGAAGCGAGCCACGAGCGGCTCGTTGCTCGCTGGTTTCCCCGTAACACGACGTACTGACTGCACGAATGCTCGCTGTGTAACGTGTTACATTATACCTCGTAACGTTGGTCAGTTCCCACCTTAACGCGTACCTACATAAGTACACACACGTTGTATTGTCTTTTATTGACATAACTTTTACACAATTATTTTACATAATTTTAAATTTAACCGACGTTTCTAAATTATGTAAAATAATTGTAAATTTATAAATAATACATAACTTCAACCCGGTAAAAAAGTGTTTTTCTATACACACGTTTTTTATTTCACTGTTTAATATATTAGGTTAAGAGCTCCAACAGCAACGATGGTCGCGAAGCGCGGACTGCAGACAGTCCAAAATGGCTCTGCCAGAAGTTAACCCGCAAGTGACTTAGCGACGTCGAAGCCTCCACAGAACGAATCTCAAAACTATGATAGGGCAATTACGGGCCATTGTCTCCTTAATGGAACATGGTGAAATGGTTGCAGCTTACAAACATTGTGTAAAACAAAAAACTTGGCGATTGGTGGATAGTTTATTGCCAGTTCTTCTCTTTCGTTCTACGCCCTTGATTTGAGAACTGGCAGTAAATGTAAAATTAGAAGAGATAATATAATACCTACAGGTAACAGCAGACACAAACAAAAAGTTTCAATTTATACGGATAAATGGATAAGAACGAATCGAGATTACTTTGATTCCGTATAATACGGTTAATCCCGACCTCTGAAGGGGGGAGGGGTTCATGTAATATACATAACATAAAAAAATGAATTGTTCACTTACTAATAATAATCAGTGGCGCTACAACCTCCTTAGGCCATGGCCTCAGATTTCTGAATCTGTTTCATGATCATTTTTAAATCTAATAGGCAAGTAGGTGATCAGCCGTCGCCGTCGACTTTTTGGTTCTAAGACATGTCGGTTTTCTCACGATGTTTTCTTTCACCGTTCGAGCAAATGTTAAATGCGCACATAGAAAGGCCATTGGTGCACAGCCGGGGTTCGAACCAACGACCTTAGGTATAAGAGTCACACGCTGAAGCCACTAGGCGAACACTATGTTCACTTACGAAACTTAAATGGTAGGTTTAAGGAAGAATTTTCTAGGAATTTTTAACAGTAAGTAAATTTTTAAAACAATGAAAAATTTAAATTTTAAATGATTTTAATAAATTTTCGAATAGGCTCCCTTCACAATGAATTTGCCCCCCTGTGGGGCGTGTCCCCACGTTGAGAAACACTGGTCTATGCGGAGTGTCAATAATATGGAATTCATTGTCGCCGAGACAGAATACAAGTTCCGATCAATAAAAAGAAAATTTAAACAAATTTAAAAGTTTGGTCCCTGTGGCAGTGTACCCAAAGCTGACAGCATTTCCTCACTGTATTGCGATACTTATTCGTTGAGGAAACCACCAGCTCTGGGGTCACCGGCGCCTATAGTTCGCAGCAGCTGACTGTGTAGTGTATAGACTATTATTTATGTGAATATAATCTAAATAATTGTTAAGTATGTATGACGAACTCTCTAAGACGCAGAGTTCAATAAAAATATTATTATTATTTTATTATTTACCATTATCATTCCAATTTTCCAAGTATAAAATTAGGATTGATAAAGCGATTTTTGTACCCTTAATGGAATATTATTTCCAAAAAATTTAGTTAAATATCTATTATGTGAAAAAAAGTTTCACTTTTACCGTGGTATCATTAACACGTTATTTGCATTACGAGATCCATCAGATCTCTTGCAGGACTTTTGTATTGTGCGTTGAACATAATCGTGTTTTTTCACTCCTTGCGGGAGGATCTAATTTGTAAAGTTCTTTAAGTATGAGCAGGACAAATATATATATATTTGCTTCCAACTTAAAGCTGAATTAAAGGACATTC